AACTTAGTAGCCTTCAGCTCAGAAGTAAGACTGTGAGTATAGCATAAAAGCTTCTTTTTGATCATGACTCTGTCATTCCCATGTTCTTTAATTTATACTATTAAACTCTTTGCTGTTTGGGTTGAGTTGAGATGAAATGAAGGTGTATAGTACCATGGTGGCTTTTCAATGTACTGGTGCTATATTAAAAAATGTAACTAAAAAAAAAAAAGATGAACTCCTGATCATTTCATAATTGCTACCTGGTTGATACCTGGTTGATGGGGTTCTGGGAGTTCTTCTACTTCCCAAGCCCGGCCCGAGGCCAGGCTTGACTTGTGAGAGTTTGGTCCACCAGGCTGTTGCTTGGAGCGGCACGCAGGGCCACATACCCACCACAGCCCGGTTGGTCCGGCACTCCTTGAGGACATTCAGTGACCTAACATCTTCATTGGCATTTTAAGACTCCTTCACAGCTGTCAACATAGTTTAACATTTGTGATAGTCCTGGGTAATGTACTAATGTTCTCAAGGCTGCCACAGTATGTGTGTGTGTGTGTTCTTTATACTCCCTATATTGGATTGTCAAATATCAAACTGATTTTACATTAATTTGGCAGTATCCTAGTAGTATCACTGCAGTCACTAGCAAAGAAAAAATTCATCTTAACTCTTACAGTATGATGATTAATACAATATGATGAATTATCAAATGAGAAAAATCTAGGTTTGAGGCAGTAGTCTATTGTCAGTAGTGGTTGTGCTGCTACAGCTGAAGCCTCTTGTCGAAACACATCAGTTACTGTTGACTATTTTCATTCACATGCATTATTACTACTAACACATGTCAATAAGTGTGATGTTGCTGTGTTTTGGTGCAGTTTTTTATAAATATTTTATAATAGCTAAAACTCCATGTTTTGTTTTTGTTTTGTTAACTTTTTATTTACTTGTTGATCAAGCTCCTTGTACTGATATTCCTTCCTTCAAACTAGGAAATAGAAATGTTATATAGTATTGGAATAATTTTTTGTTAGGTCAGTTGCTAAAATAAATAATCCAAGTCCTGTATCAAATATTTATTTCGCTGAACTTCCATGGTTACCTTAATCAAATTTCATATCGATAAAACTTGACATTTGCTTCTCAAAATATTCTACATTATAAAGTCAAATATTATTGCTTTTAAATTACACTTTACATAATTTGAGAATCAAAAGTTGATATCCACTTCCTAAGGGGAAATATAAGAGTTGTAGATTGCTCATAGCCAAAGCTTTAATTCAGTAATGGCATAACATAGATAATAAAATAAGGAATGGAACCTTTGTTGCAAGGATAAGTTGTCATACACTTAAGTTGATAGTTTTCATTTACTTTGGTGTTAATATTTCCGGGCGCTTGTATCCATAAGGTTACGGAGTGAACTTTCGGGTAGCACCGGCCTATGAGCACCGTGCCTCATGGTATTCTGAGTCGGGCACCTACTACTACCTCATCTGAGTGTTGGAGTGATAGGCAACACCCTCCACCAAGATCTAGGGGGTAAAGCAAAGATGATGTATTCTGTGCAACACTTAATGTTTAATTCCACACACCTGCTACACCTTAGCTTATTCTCTACCTTCACCTCAACAATGCATTTATTGCATGGCCAATAGGCTTTATTTCTTTGTCTTGTATCATTTAAATTAAGAAGTAATGAAAAAATACATGGATTATTCTGTGTGCAGTGACATGGCAATAACTTCTATGGTCAGTAAAGTGATCAGCTGCTAAAGGATAGAGCTGTGATGCAGCCACTTGACCAATTTAAAGCACAGTACTGTAGTTGAATTTGTGGTGTAGTGAAGCTTAACCTGATTAGCTAAGTGGAACAGTTTTGTCTTCTAAATAATAAACATGTTATGGAACAAATGTGCATGTTATATATTTAAGCTTTTAGCTGTCTTAAAGTAATGTAAAATTAATTTTGATATGTATTGAATTTACTGTTTGGTTAGTAAGTTTTAAGTTATTGAATATGTTGTGATTTTTGAGGGAGATTCCAGCTGCATTTAATGTAATGAACATGATAAAAACAAGGAACATGATACATTCTGTATCTTAATTTGATGGTGGGGATTTTGTGGTCTACTTATGTAATTTATCCTTGATTTTACTTGAGAAATATCTATACAGTAATAAAACTAGAAATGCACACTTTGAAGATGTAAATATTCATGTGTGTAACCTATTTCTGTATCTCTGAAATCTTGTTCTCAACAGGAACATTATTTATGTTCTTTTCATCCATCTCTTTGGTACTTTTTGGTAAGAATGAGACTGCGGGCTTCTGGAGAAGTCTGTGGAGTTATTGATGCTTGGTTGGTGAGGCCGGGGGTGCATCATGTTTTGTGTGCGGTTGTGACATTTTGCCATTACCTGCGTGCCCCGGGTTCTGTGTCCGGGGATGCATTGTGGGTTGATCCGGTATCCCTCTTAACCTGTTCGAGGGGCTTGGGTCTCACGGGTCATCCACAGGATTATTAAGTCTAGCCAGTCTGCGGTTTACCCTCGCACCCATGATGTTCGGAAGTTCGTGGCTCTTGCTGCTGTGTTTGGGAACATGTCTTGGTCTGACATTTCGGCGCGGGGGTTTTGGAGATTGAACAGGGTCCTGGCTGCCCATTATCTCGTTATTGTGCCAGGCCTCTCAGCGGTCTTGTTTCTTTGGGTCGGTGGTTGCAGCCAGTTGTCTCGTCCTCGTCATGAGTCATGCAGTGCAGCCACCTCCTGGGTAAGTCCCTATTTTACTGCTCTTTGGGTAGCTAGCTCCAGGGAGCTGATGGGGCTCCCCACAGAAAACCAGCATTGAATGTAATGAAATGCCATTTTCTGGACTAGTTTCGGAGGCTCCCTGGCACCCTCCCATCCTCTGGTCAGCATTTTTTGTTTCCATTGTAAGTCTCTGAACTGGAGGTCTGGCATCTGGCTCGGTGGGGCTGGCACAAACGAGTGCCACACGGATGACATTTTGCTTATTAACTTTTTTTTTTCCTTGTGGGGAGTTCCTATGCTCTGTTCGATCTCAGGTTGCAATTTTTTTACCAGGAGGGTTCTGTTTTTGGGGTGCCTACCTTTCTGGGTGCCCAACCCCAGTTGATGGCAGACATGAATATACTCTCAAAGAATGGAGTTTTCATAGCCATTGCTCCCCTCGCCTCTCTGAAGGAACCAGGTTCTGGCTCGTGGTTCCCGGTAGGCATACGGATGCCACATGACTGAAGCCTCAGACTAAAACAGTACAGCTAATATCAGTCTGATAGCTCCAGGGAGCCTCCGGGGCTCACCCAGAAAATGGCGTTTCATTACATTCAATTCAGTTTTTTGTTTTTTGTTTTTAATTTTAGAAATACTCTACTGTAATCCATTTCTGTTATCAACTGCTTACTGCCTCCGTGTCTCAACTTCATGAAGGATCACACATTTGATTTGAATAGTAATTCATAACTGAACTTCATGTTATTGTATATATATAAATGTTGCTTTTTGTTTGCCGAAGTGAGAGGGAAGTAATGTGACATCTGACAAACATAATCCAGTGACACTAATTTTGTTTAGTAACACAATATCCAGAAGATAAAATATAATTTGTGCTTTCTTAGTGTATTTTTTCTATGGTATATCTGTCCTTGACTTCATTTCGGAATGATGATATTTGAATGTTTGTGTATTAAATGTTATTTGGGGTTGTGTATATTTGCCACAAACCACTACAATATGCTGGTGGTCTGAGTGTTTATATAGGATCACCTTTTTCTACCATATAGTAGGTACAGTATTGTTTTGTAATATGTTGTTTCAATTGATTTATTTTGCATTGTACAGTCTAATTTATTCACATTGTAATATGATTAATGCTTGACAGGTCATTGAAATAGTGCCATTTTTTTATTTTATCATTCGGTTAAAAATTAATTGTTTATTTAGTTTGATTGTAAAGTATATTGGTGAATGTTTTTATGTGTAAATTATGTTATTGACGATTATGTATTTTTAATTATTATTTGCAAATCTCCACAAAGACAAACCCAAAACATGTATCTGATTAGTAGTAGTAGTGTAGAAAGTAATTTAAATGTGCAATAGACTGTAGTATTGATAAATGTGATCTCTGTTACGTAACTCTACACTGATATTTTATAAGATGTGAGATTTACGTATATGAGGTTGTAAGTGATGTTGTCCCAGGAGCAGCGTATTATTCATTGTGATGTAGGGGTGAAGCTCTAACCTGTGTCCGTCTCTCTCTTCTCTCCCTTCACGCTGCCTCCCTCCTCTCCACTGGCTGTGACATTTCCTCCACTAGGCCTAAATGTCAACAACAACATCATCAGCAACAATATCAACAACAACAACAACTTTAGCCATGTGCATAGAGGAAATCCCTGTGGCAAAGTCCATAAAATGACTGGGAGAAAATTGAGAAAAAATATGGAGGACCTTGATGATCAACATATTCCCATAATTTTACACAATCAGTCCTCTCGAAGTTCACTTGTGGACTAAATTGAAAAATCACTAAACTTAATATAAACTTAAAAATTTAATACTTTTAGCATGTCATGGATATTAAAGGTGGGTTAAGACTATTGCAGCATGGTCATTAGATATCACGCTGTAGTATAGAGCACTACTGTCTTAATACATTGCACTTGGTTTCTCTCTTGGAGGAATCAACTCTAAACATGGGATTGCTGGGTTGACCATTAGGCTCATTCTCTAAATTTATTTAATATGATTTTGATGTTAATATGGAATGGTGGTGCCGATGCACTTAAAATGCTTAACTTTAAATTCCTGCATTATTAAATATTGTGTTTGCCTATTTTCATTTGTGTAGAATGTTTTGTAAGTTTTGTGTACTTTTATTTTCCTTGCCACATTTTTATTACATTTTGCAATGCTCATAACTATAATAATTTTTGTCACCGTATTATTGTTAATTCACAAGTATAATGGTATGATGTAAATTGCAGGAAAAGAGGGAGTGAATAGCAGTTGTGCAGGTACTACATCTGTTGTCAGTCCTCTTCATGCTACTGTGGGGTCAGGTTTACCTCCTGCAGCAGTTCATCAGCCACAGGCCAGCCCGGGAGAAAATGTCACTATGGCAAACAGTACAAGTGTAGGGGGCACAACAGGAGTGTCCACTAGCCAGTTGTATCTTCTAGACAGCTCCTATGATCTCGACTTGGATTCTATAGATGGCTCGGTGTCGCAGCCCTCGCACTCTGAGTCGTCACAGTTAGGACTAATTCATAGTAATGCTGTATAGCCCTGTTTTAATGTAATTGTTAAAGAATATCTTTCCAAGTGTGATGCATGGGGTTGTGTATGGCATGTACTCCAATATTTGTGCCAGCAAGAATTACGTTTGAACAAAATGTGCATTTTTCTCAGTCTCGGTGATACAGTGAAGGTAGTTGCTGGACATATAGACCAGTTTGTTACCAGTGTAACTGAGAAGATACTTGCTTTTTCATGTATATTAATTCTCTTGTGATTGAAATAACTTGCATCACAGATAAAACTGCAGTACTGAAATGAAAGCTATAGAAACAAAAAGGAGAGTGATCCAGTGTAGAGAAAAACTTGGCATCAATGAGTAATACAAGACTGATCTGCTAAGACTTGAGTTAAATATATGTTGCACAATCAAATCCTTACTTTAAGGTTTGTGTTGTGTCATGATTTAAATACACGTGTGTGTACATGTTAGTTTGTGTGTGTGTGTGTGTGTGTGTGGTGCGTGCGTGTGCATGAGTGCGTGCGTGCACACATGTGCATGCAGCACTATCAGAAAAAGAAAGACTTATTTTCTTCGGAATCCTCTATTTAGCTACATCAGTTTGTAGAGTCTTAAATTTCTGCGTATATATATTTGTGTGACGTGTATATGCATACATGAATACTTATCATATGACATATGTTATTTTCTTTTAATTTCCATTAAAACGGCATGACAACATTGCATATATAGCTTGTGGATTTCTTCATTGATAAATATTTAGTCATGTTAAATTTTTATATTTATGTATGTAATATATGATGAAATCAAGGTACTTTATCTTGAGTTGAAGCGACCAAAGTTTTGTGTGTGGAGCGCCTAGTGCTGTAGGATATAGAAAGCTTAGGTAATGAACCCTTTTTTAAATATTTTTAGGAGTGTGTGATAAAATGTTATGCTCTTGTGACATTAGCAAGTTGAGAAAGATAGCTGCTGCTAGCAAGCTGAGAGGCTCATCAAACTGGTTGATGTAATTCTTTTTCCCATATTGTATGTAGGGAAAGTTTTCTACAAATTTGAGAGCACGTCGTTATCATGCTTCAAGGTCACATAGGGAAGGTGTCTATATTATTGTTGTCTAGAATGTTTTCTTGTACTCTTTATCACCAGGTCAAACTTTTTATGCATGTGATTTCCAGGCTGATTAATAGTATTCTGATTGTAAATGACTATGGTACGTCTTTTATATGTTGGGCCATGTAATGTTCGTGTAGTTAATGAGGAATTATAATGTGGTAGATCTTTTAACTGCCATTGTGATTTATGTTGAAAGTTCTGGTAAAGTGGTGTTTGGTGAGCAAAATTTGACATAAATATCCTAATTGTTCTCCTGACTTAGTACTAGGTGATACCCCATGAAATAAGTCAGAATACCTGTTACTGTATTGAAAAGTATTCAATGTAGTGATGGCTTATAAAAATCTCCTAAGCATAAAAATATAGTATTGGATTTATCATGTGAGGAATTGAGCTATTTGAATAATTTTGTAAAAGATAATATTTTTATTGAATTGGTATATCTTGACTATAATGCACTTCATAGGAGTATTTACCTTTGAACTAATGTAAGTTTAAAATAAAACAAAAATCAGTTGATATTTTGTATGAGTTAGCCAATGCTGAACTTGGATTGTGGTCTAAGATGTCTTAGATGCAAGCTACCACATTTCTATGAAGAGAGATAATGTTTAGAACCCAAGAATCAATCAATTTTATCAAAATTTGTGAAAGGACTGTCATACCCTTGATTCATATTTCACATACAGTCCTTTCTCTTTGAGGACCAATTGTGTCCTAAACCATTGTGGAGGAAGGGAAGTAGTACATGGATCTGGTACTTCATAAACCCAGGGTCTGATCCTGCATGACACTTACGAACCCATTTATTGTGTCGTGCCATTGTGAGTTTCAATTTGATGTAAGTATTGTATTGGCACCCTAAAATGATATCTAGAAATCTTTTACTGTTCTGCACCACAGATGGTGCTCAGTAGTCTTCCAGGTTTGGTGGCCTCTTTTGTTAATTACTTAATACGAGTCCATGAAAATTGGGCAGAAAGTAATATGAAAATTAGAGCTTAATATTTCCTTCATTAGAACATTTTTAGAAGCCATTGACCAGAAGGCTAGACATCACTAGAAAAAAAGTACAAAATAATATCAAAACAAAATTAGCAAAGTATCACTAATTTTACTAGAATGGTGAACGTCTTCATAAGGTGTAAAAATATAATAATAACTTTACCTTGAAGCAACAAGCTTTGGTGATAATTTGTAGTTCTGGACATATGATCCCAACATAGTGGCATTAAGAGATCTACTGTACATAAAACATTATTGCCTTAAATATTGCAAAACTATGCCATCATTTTAGAATTTGTGAATTGCAATAAAACAAATGGTGTAATAATGTGTCCAATTTACATTTGTTTCACTTTCCCTCCCACTTTCTTATGTATGAATATGGCCCTACAGAAATATATCTACATCTCACAAAAAAGTTTGGCTTAATGATCTTGAAAAACTTATTTAAATATCTACATTAGTTATCACAGTACTTACATATTGGTGGTATATAATTTTATTGCTGCAGATGGATGCAAGTCTACATACTGTCTTTGCAGCACTTTGAGTAATGTATAAAGAATATACTTAATACTTATGCAGGTCTGTGTATTACAGTGTACCAAAGAGTGTTTGATCATACAGGTTTGCTAGCTGCTGTTATTGGTTTAATACCAGATTGTATATTAAGTTGCTGGCCATTTTAGTTTTTTTTACACACTTTTTTATGTACTTATAGACTCCTGGCAATAATGTAGAAAGCATTGTGTACTGATGGAATACTGTAAATCTGTGCACCTTGAATGTTTAGTGCAAATTTAGAGTGACCTTCAGTCCATTGGCAATAAGACCAAGTGTAACCACCAGTTCACTTCCAGAATTCCAGGAGAGCAGGTATTATATGAGCTGTGCTTGGTCTTGGTACCAAGAGTAAAGAAGATTGTACAGCTGCAGCTGCTTGGTCTTGGCACAGCTGCTAGAGTGAAGAAGATTGTACAGCTGCAGCTGCTTGGTCTTGGCACAGCTGCTAGAGTGAAGAAGATTGTACAGCTGCAGCTGCTTGGTCTTGGCACAGCTGCTGGAGTGAAGAAGATTGTACAGCTGCAGCTGCTTGGTCTTGGCACAGCTGCTAGAGTGAAGAAGATTGTACAGCTGCAGCTGCTTGGTCTTGGCACCAGTTGCTGGAGTGAAGATGGTACAGATGCAGCACCACTGGCTTAAACACAATTGGGTCATGTTACTACTTTGTAAAGTTTGCCTTGTTTGAGGTTGTGTTGTGAGTGTGTCAAAAGAGTGAGGTGTGTACCTGGAAAACAAACTCAAAGAAATCTAGAATGAATGTCTGCAGGTTGGAATATACTGTACTTTGTGCAAAGGCTGTGGCTTGCCTGGTGAGCTGCCTTCATCCTCATATCATCACTTACTTGGGACTCCACTATGTACTGGTAGACACCTATTAGATTCTTTTGATGCTGAAGAATTTCTAAAAACTGTTTTACACATCTTTTTTATAGCATTATAGTCTTAAGCTTATTTGTGAATGTTGGCAGAACTTTAATTACAAGCCATTTGTGATGTCAGATGTTTTCCATGTTTAATTATAGAGTGAGTGGCATGTGAAGGTGTATCTTGATTTAAGGTTTACACTAGACCACCACTACTGTGCCAACTCCTGCGGCTTCCACACAAGTGTGGAGGACAAACAGTACAGGGGTAAATCACCTTTCCTGAGCCAGTTTTTTTAAATAAGAGTTAACATCACATCGTCTCCTTTCTCTACGTGCATGTACACAGTTTTATTTTCTTATTTTGATATCTTAAAATACATTATTGTTATATGGTACAGTATTGCTTAGCTTTTGAGCAGTTTATGTGATATGTTTTCTTCTATAATCTCAAGGTTTTGTTACAACCATGTGTAAGAATGAGTATACAGTATATTGATCATAATATAAGTTACTTTATATATAATGTAATAATGTTCAGCTTCACACACAATTAGTGTGTATGATGTGATTTGAAAATTCAAACACCGTTTTAATATAAAAATAAAATCTGTAGACATTGAAATGGCCCTGCAGTCAATTTTAATGAGCAAGGAATTATATACATCATTAATTTACTGCTTTTTTATAAGTGATGTGATCATTATCATGTATGTTAATAAATTTGTGTTGTGAGGAATTTTATTGATAGTTGATGGAAGTGTATATAAGTGTAAGGGTTATTGCAGCTGTGAAAACAACCAGCTTCTGTTGGGACTGTAATGCTGCTAAGGGCTCATTTGATCACATTTCTTGTACTGTACATTCCTAGTTTTTTTTTTTTTTTACGTGAGTTTCAGTTACTTTTTGTACTTATTGAAAGTGGTATATCATTATCATGACACAATAAGCAATACAATTTTCATGTCGAGACAGTCAATTTGACAAGGTTCAGAACTGATTAATTTCATTGCTGGATGTAAACAGTGTGACATTTATTGTACAGTACATCTAAAACAATACAATTTGTTTATTGTATTTTGCTTGGCATTAAATTCCTTGAGATGTGGTTACTGCAGAAAATAGGTGCAGATAATTATATTAATTTGTATCCTTGACTTATTCCTGCTGACCTGTTTGTGAAAAAACATTTGGCAGTCCTGTACTCACCTAGTTGTGCTTGCGGGGGTTGAGCTTTGGCTTTTTGGTCCTGCCTCTCAACCGTCAATCAAATGGTGTACAGATTCTTGAGCCTACTGGGCTCTATTATATCTACATTTGAAACTGTATGGAGTCTACCTCCACCACATCACTGCTTAATGCATTCCATTTGTTAACTACTTTGACTCTTGAAAAAATTCTTTCTAATGCCTCTGTGGCTCATCTGGGTACTAAGTTTCCACCTGTCCCCTCCCTTGTTCGTGTTCCACCCGTGCTAAAGATTTTGTCTTTGTCCACCCTGTCAATTCCCCTTGAGAATTTTGTAGTTGGTTATCATGTTTCCCCTTACTCTTCGGTTTTCCAGGGATGCGAGGTTCAGCTTCCTTAGTCTTTCCTCGTAGCTCATACCTCTCAGTTCCAGGACCAGTCTGGTGGAATACCTCTGAATCTTCTCTAACTTTGTCTTGTGTTTAACTAGGCATGGACTTCAGGCTGGAGCTACATATTCCAGGATTGGTCTGACAGATGGTATACAGGCTCCTGAACAATTCCTTACACAAGTTTCTAAAGGCAGTTCTTATGTTGGTCAATCTAGCATATGCTGCTGATGATATCCTATTTATCCTTCCTGTGTGGTAGTTCAGGTGACCAGGGAAATATGTGACCTCTATCATAATAGGATTTTTTGTATCTTCATCAGCATTGCCCTTGGTACATATTAATGGCAAGTTCAGGAATCTTGCATGCCATGCTTGTGGTATAGAGAGAATTGTGCATATTGTGTGTGTGACATAATAAAATGTTTGTATGTCTCGATCTCATAACTAATTTTTTTGATTACACAAAGGGTGGGAGCCTCATAGTAGCAAGTTATAGTTGCCAACAAAGTTTTATACAGTATATTATTTGCATATTTTATATATAATTTGCATATATACAGTATATATTTTTTTTTCTGAGGGGAGCCCCTTCGGCTCTGTGGCTGATATGTTATATTGGTCTGGGGCATCAGTCAATTTGGAGTTCAGCCTACCAGGGACCACGAGCCAGAATCTGGCCCCCCTCAGAGAGGCAAAGGGAGCAGTGGCCTGTGGAAACCCCCATGTATTTGGAGGTATTTCGTGTCTGCCATTGACACCCAGAAAGGTAGGCAAACAAAACAGACCCCACATGGTAAGAAAATTGTAACCGAAGGCCAAACAGAGAGGTAGAATTCAGCATCTTTAAAGAAACAAGCAAACACCATACTCCACTGCAGCCTTTACCCCTCTGGGAGGGGGAGGGGGGAGCCCTGAACCCCCCATGCCGGCTACCCAAAACTTCAGTTCGTTGACTGATGTCGTCTGGGGCGGACGTTGATTCTGGCTTGAGATTCTAGGCAGTTGTGTACTTTAGTGGTGTGTTCTGCTGTGTGTGAGGCATGGTGGCCAGGAGAACTTTGAGAGTGCTGGGGCTGCATGCACTTGCATGTGTTAATTTGGGCCTAGCTGGTTTTGCAGTACAGTACCTTGCCTTGGCTTCCCGTATCAGTCAGCCTGCGGGCCCTGAAAATCCCCATTGGGGCTCATTAGACTAATGGATGCGTCTTTCGAGTTCCACCTCGCCTTTTGAGTTTAAAGGTTGCTATGTGCCCTTGTCTCAGGGTGACAGTCACTGTTTTTGCCTCTTGTCATGATGCCTGTTGAGTTGACGACATCTTTGACCCGGAGTTTTGCGAGTTGTGCTCTGCTTGTTCTCCAATTTACTCATTCTGATGACAGTGATATTCGGGTACAGGCAGCATCTGCATTGCATGCTAGGTTTAGATTGCTGCAACACGCTAGGTTGGTGGTCTCAGGGCATCTGGATGCCCTGAGGCCCTTTCATTTTTTTTGCCTTTCCCCTGGACTATGCCTTTTCTTCAGAGGTAGGGGGGATGGAGGACTGCTCTCCCCAGGGTCCGGGTTTGGACCTGCCGAAGACCAGGAAGCCTAGAGGCTCCCTGGTACTCTCCCTCCCTCCCTCTGGTTGGCAGTTTTTCATGTGGGTTTTGATGCTCAGCCTCCGAACTGGAGTTGTTGGGTAGCTGGCGCGGGAGGGTCCAGGGCTGCTCCTCCCACTCCCGGTGAGGGGAGGGCTGCGTGGACAAGCGGAGTATGGCATTTGCTTGTTTCTTTAAGGAGGGGAGTTCTGCCTCTGTTTGGTCTTCGGTTGCAATTTTCTTACCATTTGGGGTCTGTTTTGTTATGCCTACCTTCCTGGGTGCCAACCCTGGTCAATCGCAGACATGGAATGCTACCAAATACATGCGGGGTTTCCATAGGCCATTGCTCCCTTTGCCTCTCTGAGGATGGGGGGCCAAGTTCTGGCTTGTGGTTCCCGGTAGGCTGAACTCCAATTGACTGATGTCCTGAACTAATGTAACATATCAGCCTGATAGCTCCAGGGAGCCTCCGGGGGCTTACCCAGAAAATGAAGTTTCATTACATTCAACGCTGTTTTGATTTTTTAGTACGGCCAATGTTGGAAAGGTTAACTAATGTGGCAGAATTAACAAAGTATATCTATAACACTCAGATAAAGGCAAAAAGATACTTTTTTTTTTTTTTTACTGAACATTATAAGCAATTGCTCTTAATTTAGGACTTGCATTGATACAGTCCACACTATTCATTACATTTTTTATTAAAGATGATTACTATGATATTTTAAGTTTATTATTTTTAATCACATAA